TTCATGCAAAATGTGATACTCAAACGGAGAATTTATATTTTGAGGTTACTGTACAAACGGCAAATGTACATAGACGGTATCCATATGAGTGCCCAATAATTACGTACAAGCATAAAGACGACACTTCTTTGATGTTCCATGGAGAAGAACAAAGCTGGCCAAGGAGTTTCCTATTTCTCTTGCATGATAAAGTCTACTCAATGGTATAGTTAGTTGAATTCGAGACTCAGATATATTTACTTGTAATTTTCTGGTTTCCGTAGGATGGCATTAGATTATTTAGGTTACATTTAGGTATACAAATTTAAGTTTGTTTCTCTATTAATTCGTTTATATATTACATATACTCTTCTTAAGCGGACATATGTAACCAGAAGTAAAAGTATGATGTGACTTAATAAATAAATAATGGTAATAATAATATCATATTTTTTTACTTCTCTTACATATATTTGGTCATCGAAAATTATTAACTTATTTTAGTTAGAAAAATGTAAGTACATGATTTCCGTGATGTATTGACGGTATGACGAGTGACTGGAATCAGCCTAATTTTAAATAAGTTTTCTCGAAGCGCCTCTTTCGATTTCCCGTGGGGGCGTAACTTACGTGGAACCTGTCGGTTTGTTATGAGCTTGTTGTTGTAGTAAGTAGGTACAATAAGAAACCTGTAATATCTATTGTTTACGAGAAAAGTATTTCTATTTATTTACTGCTTATATGCTGAAAACAATTTGCCACACAAAAATTGGAATCGTTCACTCTTTTATGTCAATTGTAGAACAAAAGGAATACCGCAGAATTATCGGAAGAAACATATAGCATGTAATTAATTTCTTTAAATTTATTTATTACTAATTGCACCTGCGAATTCGTCCGCGCGTAATATAAGTTTATTTTTCTAAAACAAAAGTATTTTTCAAAAATATAAGCACTTATTACATCAGATACCTGTTAATAAAAGTCTCGACAAAACGGTCCAGCCATTTTAGAGTAAATAATCTTATTTTGGTGTATGTACCGTATTTATATATATAAAAACGGTTATTTTAAACAGACACTCCAATTTTATGTATTTGTATAATTTCATATACCTCTTTACATAGACAAGTAAGGAAAACTTGTGAAATACATATAGTATAATATTTAATTACGTATTTTCTACCTGCAAACTGATTCTGTTAATATTTGTCACTTATTTGTTTTATATATTACCATTTAACGAAATTCAAGGTAAATATAGACATAATAATAACTATGTAATGTTATCTAATCTGTGGAGATAGTAATAAAAATAATTATCAATACTGAAATATATTATGAAAATATGCGTCGTAATTTAGATTTATATCCATCCCAGGTTTATTATATATACCTATATAATAATCCTGGGTTTGATATATATTTAATTAAAATTTTATTAATCATATCACTGTCAACTAGTTCTTTTCTTAACGTTTAGAATTTTATTTGTGTTGCCTTTATAGAAGTAGTGGTGTAGAATTTCATAACAATTCCGTTTCCATTAATAAAAGTCATAAGACTTCACTATAAAGTGACTTAGTTTGTTTTATAAATTGTTTCTAGGTATGTTTACAGCCATACAGAGAATACACACAAATACAGCCAAGTTTTCCAAAATAAATAAATAATTTTAGATGGTGCTTGTTTGGTCATTTTCATATTGTGTCAGTTGAGTAAGATGGGCTGAATTATCAGTTTGTTGGTGACTCTTATACATGTAAACGAATATATTAATTATAATTGTGTAATAAAAAAGATATCATACATTCCCGACGGTAATTTTCCTAATGAAAGACATGAAAAATTAGTCTTATCAATGCTACTTTGCGAGTGTATCATACTTTTTATCTTTCTGTCTGGATCTAGACGTTTTAATTAGGTAGGTACTTTATTAAAACGAGTGAAAAACATATTATTTTTTGTACACATGTAGTGCAATAATTATGGTAGTATCGTTATTAAGACAATTAATTAGAAATACGTTGTTTTATGTCTTGAAAAATCGTAAAATTAGCGACATTATCGTGTAATGTAATATGTAGGAACTGTTTTATACTAGTTCATATTAATCACTAACTAACTGTTGTCCCCTGTTCCATCAGTATTTTTTGATAAACGGACATTAGTCTTTCGTGAATATAGATTGTATTACAATCTATTTTCACGTCCAATTTTATTTATATCCTTTCAGACATTTTCTTGTGAAAACGTACCAAGTCACACATATAGACACATTTTCACATTTGTAATGTTTTTGTGGTTAATAAAAAAATACTCTTTTACTTATAAATACCAAAATTTTCTACAAAATCATTTTAATTATTTCCATTAAATGATGAAAAAAGAACGTAAGAAAAAAACAGTTCTATACCTGATCTTTCGCTTTTATAAAAAAGTGCATTAGATTCTATTACAAAATTTCCGTACTTTGATGATGTAAGAAAATATGTCACTACTCCTTCCTTTTCAGGACGTCATAAGAGTCGATTAGAGGAAAAAACACACATCATACAATAGAAGGAAAATACAAAATAACATCATCGTGGTAATTCAATATCTCTTATGAGAACAAGTGCCCAGTTGTTGAACTTAAAGCCTCATTTACTTTAATAATAATCCCTGACAATTCACACAGCGCCATCTAGTTTTAAGTTGAATATGGCTAAATATACCTTTTATTATGTATATTACACAACTGATAGAAATACTTCAACACATTTATTTGTATACATAATTTCGTCATAAATACTGTTAAATTGAAAAATCTGTATTTTTTCACCCCACTACATTTTAAGATCAAAATAATATTTAACAATCAATTGGCGCGAAAATGAGAAAACACAATAAATAATCATAAAAGAATGACAGATTCCAAATTCAAATATAATATTTTGTTTATTTTTAATTGCAACAGGCCATAAATAGAGTGTAAACAATCATAGTCATGAATACAAATTTTTGTACTGTGCGTGGAATCGAACATGCAACCGTCAAGTAAGGCGGTGTGCTCAATATAAATTACTACTGTCATGGTAAATGTTTGAGGAATTTAGTTCTGTGTGGAGGGTAACTAGGAGGATTAGGTACATAATAGACAATGATGTTACCATTACAATTCTGTAATATTATCTTATCTGTGCCATTATTAACAATTCCGACGCGTCATTAGTAAATTATTGTTTAGGTATACATTTCTTGAAATTTCTGTAACATATCCACACTTATTACCAAATACGTGTTATAGAACACGTGGGAACCGATTTCATATTACAAAAGTTAACTTTAAAAAGCAAAGAATAGAAAATAATAAAAAATATATATTAATAATCTAACCCAATAAAAAAGTTTAATCGTTCTAACTTCAAAAATAAAATTTCCATACAATTCAATCAACAGCCAAAAACTAAGTTTCAAACTACTATCTTTAAAATGAAGATACTTCCATACATACATTACATCTCCCCTTTCAACCCCTTATAACCCTTTTTCTTGTTTTTTTTAATGCTACTTATATTAGTGTCATCATGTACCAATGATAACATGTCGTTATACTGTAACCATTTATGGCTGAGTCCTGTGGCGGTAGGTACTGATATTTTCTCAACAGCCTAAAAAATAAGTTTCAAGCTTCTAGCTTTAAAAAATGACAATACATGCATACAACATTTTAACTCCCCTTTTGACCCTTACAACCCATTTTCGTTAATTATATTTAATCAATACGCAAGAAAATAAGATTGAAGCTTCAATTTTTAAAAATTCCTGTTTCAGTCTCTTATAACCCTTTTTAGCATTAAAAAGTAACCTATGTCCTATCTCAAGATCTAGACTTTAAATTTCATTTAAATCCGTTCAGAAGTTTTGGCTTTTAAGACAGACAGACAGAGTCACTTTCACTTTCATAATATTAGTAAGGTATTTATTAAACTGACCCAAAAAAGCGTAAGAAAAAAGCTTTATCGTTCTAGCTTCAAATATGACGAATTTCCATAAAAACTTTTATCTGCTATTTTATTTTACCCCTTGAATGGTGACAATGTGATATTTACAAATTTAAATGTCATATTTATTTATATTTAATAAACAGTTTAAACATTTCTTTAAATTCTTTTGAAAATTGGTGGTCCAGTTGGCCAATAACATAATAAAATTTTGTTAAATCAAAATAATAGATGTGATATTCTAAATTGCAAACTATCCCTCTACTTGCGCGAACCATATCTCTGACTCTATTGGCCAGAATGGAGAAACGCGTATTCCGAACCTGAATAGCTCGGATGGAACGGTAGATGTTGTTTCTTCCAAGGAAATGTTGTTCATATGTATTGACAACATTTTTAATATTATATGTGGTTTTATTCTTCAAAAATATTAATAATATGTTCTTACGCTCTTGTCCAAGAGCAGGGTCATCAGTTATAGGCTATACCAGGATTATATTTATGTATTTATAAAATAAAATTGCAGAGCAAACGTTTATTCATTTAAATTCATAAGGAGACAACGGATTGATAATAATCAGTTGCGCGCGCTGCTTATACAAATGACATATATGTTTATTTATGACATATGAGCGTTAATAAGTCGCATATCTAGTACAATACTGGTGTAATTTAGAGATTAAAAATTTTTGAAAATAGACTTAATACCACAATTATAAAGTAGACTTTCCAAAATATCTAATTTTTGAGTTAAGCCAGTATTATAATAAGTGTGTATTCAACCACATAAAGATAACCTTTTTTTTTTTTTTACAAGGGGAAATCCGTCATGGAGACCCGCACGCCCCGGGGGAAGCGTGGGGGTACTGCCGGACTCCTACCGGCTAAAACCCCTTGGTGTCCTCGAGCGCTTTGGTGCCGGGGTTACGGGATCGAAACATTCAACCGTGATCCCCGGCGGCGCGGGCTCTTCAGCCCCACTCCTGAGTGGCGCACGCGGACACCACGCGCGCCTACTCCTGGCCTCATCCCTTCTTAGGTGACAGCCGACGCCCCCGCGTCAGCTGCCGCGAGGCCCATGGTGGGAGGCGACGGGCCGGTCTCGGCCTCCATCGTCTCCACTCTCGCCGCCTGTTTGGGCAGACAGCACCCTTTGGTGCTTCCCATTCGGTGGTCAGCCTTCCTCTTCGCCGCTGCACAATAGGGGCAGTGCGGCGAGGGGGCGGTGCACGAGGCGGCCTTGTGGCCGTCTTGTCCGCAGCGGAAGCAGGCTCCGCCGCAGTCCTCCTTGGCGGTGCACCGCTGGCCCACGTGACCCGTGAGCAGGCAGCGATAGCACCGCATCGGCCGGGGGTCTAAGGACCGCACCCGTGCCATCGTCCACCCCACTTTTAATCTGCCGGCATCGACCAGCCGCTTTACTGCTCCTATTGGGCCTCGGACCCAGACGGAGCCACTCCCTGAGGGAGAGCGCCGGATCTCCCCCGTTTTTACGGAGGCCTCGGTGCAGTCTCCCTCGCGCGCTACGGCTGCCACCACATCAGCTGCGGTTGTGGCATCGTCCAGGTCCAAGACGCGGAACTCCGCTGACTTGACCGGCCTGGTGACGCTGACCACCTCTGCCGGAAGCACCTCCGACAGTTTTGCGGCGAGGGCATCCGCCTTACCGCCGCTTTCCTCCAATGGCCCTGGCACTTCCAGGATACGGGAGCCCGTAACGGCCAATCTGAATCCGAGTTCGGTGATTCCGAGGGCATCCAACTTGATCTTCTGTTGGGCCTCTCGGAGCACCGATGTATAACTCGATCCCGCCTCCGCAGCTCCCGGCTTCAGTGTTAACACTATCGCCGAGGAGCGCGGCTGGCGGAATTGCCTCCTTCGCGCCTTTTTCTTTTTGGCAGCCTCACTGTTGGCCTCCTTTTGAGTCGCCTGAGTAGACGTTTCGCGTCCTGATGCCGCCTGTGTGGCTGGGGCCGACTCCTGGCCCTTAGCCTTTTTGGCGCGCTTGCCTCTCCGGACAACGGTCGTCCACTGCTCGTTGATAGTGGGAAGCGGCTGAGAAGCGCTTAATCCCGCCCTACTGGTGCTGGCAACAGGAGCCGCACTGCCTCCTTTCTTGGCCGCCCCAGGTGTTCGGGGTGCAGCCGTGGCCCGTTTGGGCGGCGAATTGTTCTGCCTGCCCACGAGCTCTTCAATCTTCTCAAATCGGGCATTGAAGATGTCACCGATTTGCCGAACAATCCGTGTCTCGACACTCTCGGAGATCACCGGGCCTTGCACACCCAGTTCAGCACCTCGAGCATCGGAAGTCACCTCCATGGCCGCACTATCCGGCAGTTTCGCCAAAGCCACTTTAGCCGCCGCCAGTTTGCTTTGGAGCGAATTGAGCGCCAGGCGGTCCTCAGTGCTCCTCTTGAGTAACTCCTGGTAGGAGTTGCGGGTCGCAGCGATCTCCTGCTCCCACTCCGCCCTCTCCGCCTTGAGCATCGCGAGCTCGTCCGTGTCCTGGGCGACGGACCCCATGGTCTTCTTTTTGAGGTCCCGCAACTCCACATAGTACTTGGCGGACTCCTCCCTTATGGCGGTCATCATCTCCCGCATGTCCGCCAAGTCTCGTGACAACCGGGAGTTCTCTCGGCGCATTGCTGCGCACTCGGTTGATGACGTCCACCCCGCCAATGACTCAGACGCCGCGCGGATGGTAGCTACGGCGTCCTTAATGTCCTTCACGATTGTGCCCTTCAGGTGGCCGGACTTCTTCACGGCATCAAGGACCTTCTGGGCACACTCCTGGATATCCGAAACCAGGACGTCGGATCGCTTCGCATCCTCATCTGAGGGTCTGCGGGTTACCAGACGCTTCGCCGGTTTCGGAACAACCACTGCTGCAGCTGCTGCCTCCATCTCCATGTCTCTTTTTGTAGCGGCGGCCAATTCAGCCTTCGCATGCTCCAATTCAGGGTCATTATCACCCCTCGTTGTTTTCTTTGGCCCGGCACTACTGTCACCCACTTTTGTGACGGGCGTCCTCCTTGCCGCAGATGGTGTTGCGGGTTTTTGCACCGGTGTTTTAAAAACGATCTCGGGTGCGTCATCTTCCGGTTTCGACTTCTCAACGATCCGCCTCTTACGCTGAGATCGTCGTTGCGGCAACGGTGTTGATGTGCCGGCAACGTCACTTCCTACTTCAGAATCCAAGGAGAGACTCGATCCGGAGAAATCCGAATCTAATCCCTCCATTGCTTCTGCCTCCATCTCGTCCAGCAGCCTCTCCACAAACTCCCTCCTCGCTGCATCTACCTCCTCCTCATCCTCCCACTCATGGCCTAACTTGTCCCCCCCAGAATACTTGGGACAGCCCACCCCCCGCGAGTCCGGTGCGGTGGGGAAGGATTCTCCAGCTTTGCTGGTACCTTCCTGGGGTAATAGTTTTTTAGGTTCTGCCATATCATCATCTGTTTTCCTTTTTTACCCGGGTGAGGTCCCGCGGAAGGCGAAAAATTAAGACGAAGAAGAAGGGGACAGAAAGGTTATAGGACAGGAAAGGAAACAAAACACAAAACAAAACGAAGAAAACAAAACAAGAAGCAAGAAGAAACTATGTACATATTTACAACCTAAACCTAACTATTTACAAATAAATAACTTAACCTAACTATATACACTATTTACACTCCTACCTACTCGCCGGACTATCGGCCGACATAGTAGCAGTATCCCGAAGGAACGTCTACTATCCCGCCCAGGGCGTACCAGAACCAAACCATTGCTCGGCCACCGTTCCCCGCGGACGTATCCACGAGGATGGGGAAGCCTCCCAATGGCAGGCCCATACTTGGAGGTTGCCCGACACACGCCCCAACATAAAGATAACCTTGCATTACCATTTTCAACCCCTTACAACCCTTTTTTCGCATTAAAAAGTAGCCTATGTCCTTCCTTGGCGTCTAGACTATATGGGTACCAAATTTCATTTAAATCAGTTCAGTAGTTTTGGCGTGAAAGCGAGACAGACAGACAGAGTTACTTTCGCATTTATAATATTAGTAAGGATTAGTAAGGATTATTTCGTCATAAAATATCATACTATACTATGCATAGTAAAATATGTATATATAAATGTATATATAAATATGCAAAGAAGGTCTAAAAATGTAATAATTTTTAAATGTATTACTTAGATCAGTCCATATCATGATTTGTTGTACCATGATTGTGGCATGATATAATGAAACGGCAAACGATCAGAGCAAGTTAAAACTAGTTAAAAGTGAGATCAATACACGATATTCTGTTTGACTTCAATATTGGCTACAATTCTGTATTGCAATTTATATAGGTAGCAATATATATTTCACCTTCTCCCTTTCTGACAACAATGTTAAATCTTGTTCATTTTGAATCCGTAATTATGTGATTAAGAGAAAAGATAGAACGGTTCGGTCAAATTTTCGGTTCAGCAGTCGGTTTACGACTCTTTTGTGCAGTCACGCCGGCAATTATCTGGTAGGACCGCAATCGCTATAATTGCACCCCGCAGCGTTTACTGACGTAGCGAATTTAGACAATTTCCGATTTCACATCATGTGTAGATGGAAAAATGCGAGAGTAGAAAAATAAATATAGCATATTAAGTATATAGGACCAAAGTAAAATAAAAGTTATTATTGCTTATATAGCTTTTGAAGAGGAATTTTATAAATTGTTCCGTATTTTCGTTTGACCGAACACAACCTACAAAAGTATATAATATTGTGTGAGACACGATCAGACGGTAAAACACGACGCAATTACACACATTTGATTTTAGCCATGTGGAACTCTAAACCGTGTTTGTTAGTGACATAATGTCCCTGTCTAATCCATTGACGCCAAAACGTAAAACCCAATAGCAATAAATAAGGGATGTCAGTTTATGGGTCACATGGCAATTGTATTTTAATGTTTCCACATGTTTGCTGGCCGTTCTATATTTTATATCCATTTATTTATTGCTTTGGATTAGGTTACCAGTAAATTTGTATAATACCCGAATGTACTAGAGATGGGATATGCTATCTCTGGTATTTTTGGGGATATATTCGAGTGCTATTGATATGCGAGTAACCTACATCTTCTTTATAAATAAAGAAGATGTAGAGTCGCATAATCAATATATAAGACCAACTATAACTAACCAACATCATGATACTTATTTTCTTTAAGATCGTTTAGCGACGTAACAATAATTATGTCAATAAATCCAGTATTTACGCTGCTGTTAGTATTTAACTATAGCATTCCTTTTATATGTTTAGTGAATTTACATATAGTGCATATATTAATGTGAGCGTACATATTCAATATTCACCGAGTTCACTTAATTAAATATTAAATCAGAGAGGGATTATCAGATATATATTGGACGAAAATTAATTGAATGCATTATTTGCTTGCGGCGGATTAATTCATGTTTAAACACATGTGGCGTTAATAAAGGGGCTTAACATAGTATATGTGTATGTTATCTTACCATACCCTATTTCAGGATATTCAAGTTCCATATACCAGACCCAACTAGGTAGTATCCTAAAAATGTGTCGGGATCAACGAGTAAGTCTAGGATTTCCTTTGGTCTGTATGAAGGAAAATGTTCAGATCCAGACGGTTAACTTATGTTTACTATTTTTATTTTCAAGCCATATAGTCCTTCTTGATTTGTGACAATTGGTAATACTGATCTCTTACTTGAATTTGGCTTTGACACGCTCCCGCGTGTCTAGATTACGGCATTGACGAGGATTTTATTTAAACATCATGTTACAAATGAAATTTTGTATTGCATGAAATAGTTGTAATTTTGTTCATACTTTATGTTTTAAACTCCACTTTTATGAAAATGTTATTATTAGTATTTATCCGAAAATAAACCTCTTGGCATGATAATTTTGTAGAATCACATTTTCGTGTTGTTGTTATTTTTACTTTATTTGTTGATAGACAGATCTACATTAAGAGTTACGTACCGTTTTGTACAATATTACCTATATTCGTATACAATTACAATACACGTAATCTTTGTTTATTACTTTTAAGTATACTTTATTTCTGTCACTGCGCTGTGTTACACAAACGTCACAAAAGTATCTCCTCTTCTTTATTATTATAATTTATGATTAAAAGAGCAAAGTCTGATTATTTAACAAAATGTTCTTGATTTTGTTTTTTATTATGTATTTGATCAGTGAAATGATGAGAGATGGCAAAGAGTATAATAAGTTCTGAAGGTGTTAACGGCGTCTTTTATTCAGTGGTTATTGTTTTCATTGTTCATATTATTTTTGTCTGCATGTCAAAGCCATTTTACTTGCTCTTTAAGGTTCCAGAGTCGATTAGGTGTCATCATATAGTTAATTAAGTTTTGTTAAATTTAGTTAGTGTTAATCAGTCGATGAATTGAAAAGATGAATCAATTAATTCCTAATTTATTTTTTAATAATTATTGCAGTTGTAAATCTTCATTCTCCACTCTTGCTCAATGGTTGTCTTGTATATTTTGGCGTATTCTTCTTTCATTAGAAAAGTAATGACACATTTGCAGTGTATTTGAATGTCTTCAATATTATCTTCAATTATATACCACATAATAAATACCTACTTAAAACAAAGAAGCCTTTAAAATTCATCGAATTAAACGTAATGAATACATAAATAGTCTAATGTTGTCTAACCGAATCCTTATCTTACCCTGTTCAGATCTCATCACGTAGGCGGATAATCCTCGGCGCCGTAACAAACGGATGTAACAGGGTATAACTGTCTCACCAAGACAAAGGCTCGCATCATTAAAGTTCACGATAAACACAGAACGTAATCATGTTGCAACAAGTACATAATGTTGAGAGAATTTCCGAAAATTTTGTAGTTGAAAAATGTTCAATAATATAATGTCTTAAAAAAAAAGAAGTAAAGTAAAGGACATAAAATATAACATATATACCTACCTACCTCTTGTTTATTTAAATATAAAATAAGTTGCTGATAAAATTAATTAAAGTCCTATAGTCCAAATTATGAGTTAACCTTAACCGAGTTAACCTTTGCCTATACAATTCCGATGATGCTGTAAAAGAGATATATTCGGGAGCTGTTCTATTCATGTGTAACCCGGGTGGATTGAGTAGGTAGGTTTTAAGATGCTGAGTGAGTCGTGGACGGTGGCATTCTTGTCGGGCGGATAGTCGGTTGTCTTATCTCTCGGTTGCGTGGTGGTAGTGCGTAACGACTGTGCCACGCCCCCGACGTCTTTCGACGATAGCCGACTGTTAAGATGCGCGCGCAATCCTATTTCGGTGTAAGGGTCAGTATACATTACTTCAGTGATTGCATGTATCGTATTTATTTTGTTATCAATATTCCATAAAACATAACATATATTTTAAACAATACCTTGAACAATAATCTTAAATATAAGCAATAAATATTTAATCCATAACCGTATTAAAAAGAACAAACTATATTTTATAATTTACAAGGAAATGAATTACGAACAGTTATTGTATTCTATTGAAATATTTATTTCGTCAAGAATATAATTCTATTGAAGTAGTATAATTTTATATATATATATATTACAAATGCATCGCCGCCGGGCGCCATAAGAAATAATAATTTCCCTTTTTATAGGAATCATCCTCGTAAAAAGTAACGGTTTTCCTATTAATTTAACGGCTGTTCAATATGTTAGATTTTATTGGATCATGTGAATGTATCCTAACGTAACTTCGTCCGCGCTATGCGTTGGAAAAATCTCTAGCTAGAATCAGCGTCGCAGCGCCACGGTTCGGTCGCCGAAACTAAGCGAGGTAAACGTCACGCGCGCACTCGTACCGCCATCTAGCGGCGACGTTCTCTCTTGCACGACACACACCTGCCTGCTTGCACGACATTTCTCCGTCGCACTCGCACCAGTGGCACGTAAAAATAACCTCAAAACGCTCATAGCAAACCAATCACCAAAATATTGCCCTTCCGTACATTATTAACAGTGACGTGTGGAATACAATAAAAATTCTTAGTGTTTTATGATATACATATACATCGAACATCAATTTAATCTTGTTCCGTAGTGTTCCATTATAGTGAATTTGACAAAATCGAAAGTTTCCAAAGGACAAATGATCGTTTTGGTGGGCTGTCATCGGGCAGCCCCCAAATACTGTGCCAGTATGTGGTGGTGTATATTTATATGTGTTATAAACATCAATATATTTGGAGTGTCAGCGTCTGACAACAAACAACTACAAGTATCTCCAGAGGCTGATGGTATGTATTTTGGTATTTATTTTTCAATTCAGCTATTTAAAAAGTAATATATATCTTTACTCCTTTTCTATAAGTGTATCCATCTTTTGGAGGAGTATTATTAATAGTTTCGATAGGCTATTAGTGTCGCAAAATCATATTCAAGGCGAGAATCACTGGTCCAGTCAGTGTTAGTTTATTTACGCCAAAAACTGGTTTGTTACATCTACTGGTCTACACGTGGTTCTTACGTTTACCTATAATTATACAAATGCATCATTGAGTTGTTTACAACGTAAAAAATCATTAAGATTCTATGGAAAATGATAATCACCAGATAACAAATAAGAATGTCACGTCACGCGATCGTTAGGTAGCTATAGAGGAATGATAAAAATCAAACTAAACTGCAGGTAATTATTAAACAGATAGGTAATAATACTTCATGATTTGTGCACAGATCTTGAGCTGTATAGAATTCAGAACATGAAACAATGACAATGAAAAACAGAGCTGGTGTTTATTATTTTGTTTATTTTGAGTTATACCTATATACCTATATGTTGTCAATTTGCGTGTGTGATGGGTTAATTTTTTTTTGTTTATTTATAGCTCGCTCATTGTATTTGATTAGTTGGTAGTTAGGTACTTAAGTATTTATTATTTAAGTAAGAATGTGCTATATTAAATATTGTATCTACGTAGGTATCTAAGTAGATAACAAGGAGTGAAGATAGACAGATATCTGGTATTGATGCTAAATTACGCAAGTTGACATCTGATGCATAATATATTTTTAACAGCAATGGCATAGGTATTGTCAGGTAATCTATCTACTGTCAAGTTTACTAGGTACGTAGTTGTAAATTTGACGAGGTAAATATTACTTAGATCAAGATGTAGACAGAGATTACATAATCCATTGAAGTCGATACATATACACTAAAATGAAAGAAAGGTTATACAACGAGCAAAACGCAGGAGTATACATATCTGTCTACTACTATTTATTATGCTATTGATTACAATGTAGTTGCTTTCAAATACCTGCATGGATACCTTCGGAAACCGTCGTGGTTAATTCCTGGGGAATTCGCCACCTGCATTCATTTCATCACATCATCGTCCAGTGCTATCCCTCTTTCTTATATAGTATTAGTGCAGGTCTTTGCACTATACCATTATCATCTAGTTTTACAAGTACATGTTATTTTGTATATTATACAAAATATATTGACAGTAATCATAAATGTATAAATAGACATAAATAAACTAAATATATTGATTGTAACAACTTATACACATGCCGTAATTGATAAGGTGACCCTTCTTACCTTTACTACCAGTCTCCTTCCACCTGCCATCTCCTATAATTAATTCGCGATAGACCTGCTTACTGTGCAAAGTCGTTCGACATTTGTTTGACATTATCTGGTACTTTTTTAGAACCTATTATATATTATAAGCGCCAAATTGATACCATTGAATACAATTTAAGTTTCTGCTTGTAATTTCAATTTAAAACTATGCTGGTTGTCACTCTATTCTCCCAACTTTGAATTTAAAAATGAATCTGTATTATTATAAACATGTACATCTTGTTGGTTAGTAATTGCCTATTTGATCATGGTTAGGATTTCGATTATATTAGGTACATACACTTGTCCCCTCAACGATAGGCAATTATACACAATCGATGCGGTCTCCTTTCCTAAAGACATAATCTATAGGTCTTCTTTCTTTTGCTTCGTCTATTAAAAAACATCCATGTGAGGCGGGGTCTGCCGCGTCTTCTGGACTGGGTACTCATGTCAAGTACTGTTCTAGTCATGTGGTATGATGATCTCCGCATGACGTGACCGTACCATCTTAGGCGGCTCTCCAATACCTTCTCCTTAACCTTAAACCTTAAAGCTGTCTCGAATGTGGATGTTTTTGATGTGGTACAGCAATGACACTTATGTTACGCCACCACCCCACTTAAGTATTCTATAGGTCTTCTTTGTAATAAATTATTTGGAATTTATTTTATTTTGCAACATTTTTTTATTCTTGTATATATAACCTACATACTTACTACAATATCATTTGAAATACATAGTTAAAAGATTCAGCAAAGAAGATGATATACTAAATAAACTATAGATGACTTCCGGCCTCGCTCTAAATTGCTTCAAGAAATTCAATCACGTACTGTACTTCAATGTTCAAGTACTGTAGAAAATTTACAATTTCTACTAAATACCTTTATTTTATGTATTAAAAAATTTGAAAAAATACTACTATCAAGAAATACGTCTGAACTAAGTGATACGTCATGAAAAATCACGCGAGTATTTTATCATGCATATGTAAATAATAATAGTAAGCATATCAATGTCTGAAATAATATAATTTAATAAGATTTGAAGTCCATAAATAATACAAAATTAATTAAAGAGATAAATAATTCTATAGCAAAAATAATTAACGCAAGACTGAAAGATAATAACCGAGGATATAATCAGTAGTACGCTGTCCAGTTTCATTAGTTACACACAGTTACCGTGTATAGTTACTTTGTTGATTGTTGAACTATCTATTACAAGTAATAAAAATATGATTAAATGTACATATGTAATGGATCTATAATATATCGAAAATATTGATGCTTATGTATATAAAAATACTATACTCTTGCCAAGATACTAAAATAGAGATACAAACAACCGAATGTGTCCGAAGACATAATATTTTCCTGCATCCGTAGTCCGTACAAAGTTCGATATCCGTGGCTAAAAGCCAATTTTAAGTCGTCACGAAGGATACTTTGTTTTGCATTTTAATAACATTTTCAGTTTCATATCGTGCGAATTCAATTACAGTTACAAGTGTACTAAATAGGATTACACCTTAATCTGCCCATTATTCAGTTTTATGAGATTTCCACGTTATCATAATCTCCGAGATTTGAAAATTCTCAGCACATCAGTTTAGGGGCGGATAAGTTGAGTCACTTTTTTGTCATATCATTTATTTCGGTGGTTCTGAATATTGATATGAGTAGTAAGGTGCAAGATTTTGTTTATTTTATACTCATTAAATGCATATGAAAATGTATATTGTACTTAAATACACCCACGCGGTTGAAGTCACGGATAACAGCTAGTGGTGTATATATAAAAAAGCTCTAGAAGAAAATTTCAAATATAATAGAAAACAAGTGACCTGTTTTCTGTATTATATTCCAATTTAAATAGTAAGTAAATATTAAAATTTTAAGTATAAATATTTTTCAGAGATATCGGAATCCATTATTATTAGTATAATATAATAATGGTATTACTTCTTATCACTTATAACCTAAATAAAGTTAATATTAATAGATTAGTTTTAGATAAATGCGATATGGAAAATGTCTACAATATCGGTATAATTATCAGGTCAGCAATAAATAGAAGAAGCAGCTTAGCGAAATAGATAATCTAATATAGTAGTAAAAGTACTTCGTTATGATTGTCTCAATTTTGGCGTTCCACAGCTGCTCGACGACCATAAAAGTCCTGCTGATGAAAGAGGACAATTCCATTGTGATGGTTATAAAACGGGCTTTGTGCTGAGAAATGGTGTCATTATGTGAAAAATGAAAAACGAAGCTTACTCGTTATGCTCTGACTAGTATTACTGACTTTTGCGTTACAAACAGCCTTTGCTTTCAGTGAATTTGTCGATTGATTCATTACGACTCCTATAGGTCATTATGCTCTCATTTGTCACAATTTTCTTACAAATATAAGAAAATAATAACCTTTAAAGGAAAGTCGCAATATCGATAAAATTTTACGAGAATTGAATGTCGCTATTGGAAGCAAGTACAGCAATTTGGAAAGAACATTAGGTTCTAAATTTCAAAGAGCGAAGGCACCAGCTGCAATATCTCCAGTCGGTGAAAGGATAACTGCAGATTAGATAAGGGTATCCGACTTTGGTCCTTGCCTTTAGTGAAGGTCAGAAAGTTTGGAAACTAATTCCATCGTAAAAAAAAGCCTGCAAAAGAAGTTCTTTATGAATCATACATCTTTATTCGATAAACCTTATATCGTTTAGACGATATGTGACTGGCTACTTCTATAAGAAATATTGAGAGATGTTCAATAAAATATAGAGCAAGTCATGTTTTACGAGTATTCTTGATATGATTGGTTCGAGTATTTCATTGCTAAGTGTAAAAAGCAGCTTATTTGGTTTCCACAACTCGTATATGATATTTAATGGATTTTTCATGAATAAATATCATCAATGTATATTAATGTAGCATAAATGTATAATTTCAAATAAAACTGTAGTTCGTTAAAGACTAGAATTTTCTAAAATATAATCAAAGTAATAAATGCGTTTACGAAATGCTGAAAGAAAAACTAATTATCTATACATATGAATAAAATTGGAGTATCTGTTTGTAATATTGAAATACTCGTTTTTTACTTAATGCATGTATATATAAATACGGTACATACACCAAAATAACATTTTTTACAATTTTTGTCTGTCTGTCGGTCTGTTTGTTTCGGCTAATCAAAAGTCAAAATCGGAATCGAATCTCTGAAATTTTCAACCATTTCAGAGATTTGATTCCGATTTTGACTTATTTTAGAAATATAAAGTTAAATTCCGCGAACGCGACGCGTCGCGGGAACAGCTGGTATAGTATAATATCATCATAAATATATTTTGTAGGTGCTAATGCTAGAATAAATAATAAAAATGAAGTTGGAATAACTATAAAAAGTTAATTTTAATTATTACTATGATGCATTTCAATTGCTGATTGTTCTCATATTCTATAAGGTTACTACTCAATTAACATCCGATGCCAAGTCCAATGCGACACTTAACGATGACCTCCATTCTGTATTGGTCCATAGTCATTAAGCTCTACTGCCATCGCCCCTTGCTATGCCGATGATACGGATAGACAGCCGTTCAATAAACGAGGGTTAGACTGCGAATACTCGACGTTATTTCGCAATACGCATACAATT